AATATCGCTTCAATTTTTTTTTTGTATATCTGCGCAATCTATACTCAGTGAGGCAGAGGTGGTGTCACACACGCATGGTCCAGGATTTTATTGCCTAATCTATTTCATAGTAGGATGATTTCATCACTTCCTGAACATATGTGATTTACGAAATGTTTGGGGCAAAGAAATTTTTCACAATGGGAACCTTTAAAAAATAAATAAAAATACGGTCGGAAAAAATTGTCCACATCGCGTTGCTTTGCGGTCCTTTTGCAAATCAGAAGGAAATAAAAATCGTGCAGGGGTCCTAAATCACTCTGAAGAGTGCTTAAGTATCAGGCGACATGACATGAATATGTATGAAAATTCCTAAACCCAACAGCACGGAACTGAAAGTAAGCATGTGATAGTATGACAACCCACGAGTGCATACACAAAAGTTTGGATCGGGAGCTATTACGTATAAGGTGATGATCATATTTTCGCACAAGAAATGAAAAATGAGGTGGTGCATTAGCCTTGTGGTACGAGTGGTGATGTTCCTTACATTTACTTGCTTTTGTTGAGGAGAAGTTGACTGAATAGCTTCGTGGTCTCTCAGTGATGCCCACCACTCGGTCCAAGCCGCTGCGCATTTTTCTACCCACTTCAAAACCACGAAAACCTATGGTCTAGGTAGTCGTCACCACCACTCGGTCCAAGCCGCTACGCATGTTTCTACCCACTTCAAAACCACGAAGAACTTCTGGTCCAGGTGGTCATCACCGAAAAGGCAAGGCATAACGGCGAAAGTGTAGTTGGTTGCGGAGAGCAACTGCACTACCTCCTCCAATTACTTCGGCCTCTTGGGGTCATAGGCAGAGTATGCCTTACCCCAGAAAACCAAAAATTCCGTGAATATTTAGCATAGAAATAGAACTTCAGTCCCCCCGCATTCGATTTCCACTCAGAGTTGCTTTTTGAATGAGTATATGTTTTAGACAAGGATTCGCGGTAGCCAACCAACCTACAGATCGGTGCTCATATGTGCCCAACGGGCCTGGAACCGATTAGCCGATCTCGAAGTTATGGAAAGCTGGGTTGACCTAGTATAAGTATAGATCCAGGATCCGAATCCTGGACCATGCGTGTGCAATAGACAAGACAGATATTGCAATGCAATATCTGTCTTTCTCACCACCTCTGTCTCACTGGCCGCATTCATACTAGGTGCAGTGCACTGCAGTCTGGTTCAGTGGACTGCACCCTCGATGCCGTCCACTGCACCAGACTGCAGTACACCCGTCAATCTACGACACCAATCAGCTCGAATTGATGACTCATGCTGCGGGATGACTGTTTGAGATAATTATGCTCTTTTTTCTCTTCGCTCGCTACAAATTTTGTTGTGATTTTTGTTTTTCATCACGTGCTGATGACCGATCTTCCGTGTGCGTAGTGTTTGCGTGAGCTCATTTTTTTCCACTTATTTTTCTATCCCTTTTATGTCAACAATTTGTTGTGGGAATTCTCCTATCTTATTTTTCAATACTATTTTTTATTTCTAATCTTCATGTTTTACATTCCAGCTAGTACTGACATGTCTTGGTTACGAAATAAGGAGTAAGAGTAGTAAGAATAAAAGAATGCACGCATAACACATCAGTACTAATTAGAATATAGAGCAGGAAAAATAGAAATAAAAATTTAAAATAGAAAAAAATAGAAAAAATAAAATAGAAAAATTCCCACAACAAAATGCTGAGATAACAGAGATAAAAAAATAAATGGAAAAATAATGGTTTTTGCGAACATCACGCGCTCGGAAGACCGGTCATCTATACGGGACTTGATGAAAAATGAAAATCACAACAAAATCTGCAACGAGCGAAGAGAAAAAGAAGCATACTTATCTCAAACAGTCATCCCTTAGGATCAGTCAGCTGTCCATCGATTTATATCGTAGACTGGTGCAGTGGACTGCTGTACACTGCCCCTGGGTGCAGTACGGTGTATGAATGCGGCCACTGAATATAAATTGCGCAGATTCGCGAAAAAATTGAAGCGGTATTGCATGTTCAGGTAAGATCGGTGAGAGGTGAGAAAGCCTGTAACGTTCGTAGAGCGCGATCAAATCAATTGATCAATTAATCATTAATGATCATAAATAGAATTCCTGTGCTACAAGGAAAAAGTTCAGTTAATGCAAAAACTTCGTTCTCCACAAAACTCGAACTATAGTCTCTCGCACATGAGACGCCAACCTTACTAGTGCTCCAAGCCACTGTCGATGAAGATGGTTCATCCATGTAATTCAACTTTACAAAAGTTAAGCCTCACCTGAAATCACCTAAAACTCCATTAAGAGAATCGCTCGGCAAGTTTCGAAAGCAGGTTCGAGATCAGCATCCGAGAACACGTTCAGCAGTGTACGTCTCATTTCAAGAGGCCACTTCAACTTGGGATACTTCACTGGTTAGTTTGAAAAATTGCATGTCTATGGCTCAACACGAATATGTGCTCGTCCCCCACCCCCAACATTCCCCTAAATATTTTTGCTTGAGCCTTGAGAAGAATTCCATGATGAAGATTTCGAAAAAAGGTATTAGGTATCGTATCACTTTTGGAAAAGGCAGTTGTCATTAGCTCTACTCCACATCGAACTTCAGGTCGATCGGTTGGCCGATGATACAAGCAGGTTGTTCAACAATACTCTGCATTTCTGCACTCTTGCTTATCGACTCCTACATGGTGTATGTGTTCACAAAAACCATTTACCTTGTCATCATTCTTGGTCTTCTGCATGGAATTGTTTTTCTTCCAGCGTTATTGCTGACGGTAATTCTCGAAAAACTTTAGTGGTGCAAGTTTGCTGTCATATAACCGCCCTTTAGATTAACAGCAATGGGGCTAATGACATGAAAATGGCTGCATTTGGAGCTGGTAGGGAAGGTACAGTGGCAATCGATGACGGTCGGTGCACCCAGCAAAGGCAGTCAGAATTGGGTACGTTTTTGAAGTTCATTCGACTCTTCCTTTGGCGAACGTTTTTGTTCTTTAAGTGAAAGGAGAGAGATGAACAATGACGATGAACAAGTAGGGTGTCTATTTTTCCAGCTTTGAATGATATGGTACCCCCGACAACTCACCGATTTAAACGAGAGCAGGGATAAAGGCTGAAACATGGCTCGTAACTATGACTGGTCACCGAATCTCATTTTATTGATTTTCTCGTTGATTTTGCCTCACTGAACAGATTATGTGGTGCTAAGTTACTGTTTATGTATCTATGTATGAATGTGTATATATGTGAATTAGCATGCAAGTCATCGGCTAGTTTCTTATTCTTTTGATGTTGTTCTTCTCAGTGACATTTAACTTATTGCGTATTTCTAAGCCTAAGATTTATAATTTAGGATTTATAATGTTCAGTACAGCTTTTTTGCTCATTGCTATAGGCACGCGGTTCATTACCGTAAGATTTCCATCCAAATTCAAAGGTCAACTTCAGATTAACCGATAATAACGTTCTCAGTGACAGACGTTTTCGCCGTTTCAGATTGTTTTGAAATAGTATCCCTAGGTTTTGAAATATGTTTCGATATGTTTGTACATAGCCCTGCTTCAGCAATTTTGCTATAGGTTTTTGTTTTCTGGAGAGTTTATGATGGGTAATGAAAGTTTGACAATACCGTAATTCCCGAAATGGATGTTTGTCTCTGTTGTACCTTACTATAATGCCACAATATGCCAGTATGCCAATTAATACTACTTTGACATTTTACATCGTCAATGTTTGTTAATATTGGAAAGAAGATTTTCGATCTTGGTATTGGGCGATGCTTTGGAGCATGTTGTTACCTCTGGCAACAGTGCCAACAAATGTCTACAATCCTCTGCTATGTTCAGGGAAATGATTCCAGCTTTACTCCTTTTTCTAGTGCTGTGGAAGTCCATTGACAGTGTCTCATGTGATTCGGCTTGCGAAACGCGTGGATCTCTCGTCAAACAGCAACTTCGCCCGCCGATAATACCAGTGAGTTCCCACTAAGCACACCAGGAGTCTCTTGCGATAGTGTTTGCTGAGTGCCGACTTGCTCTGCGTGGAGTAGTCTCTGCGAACTCTGGCCCCAAGCTACCAGTTTTACTGTCAATTTCTGCTCCTGGCAAATTTAACGATTGATTAGCAGGCCATCTCAATCCGACATTCACTCTGCTTTGAGAAGAATACCTTAATTGATAGGCTTTGATTGATGACCTCTGTTAGACTCAGCTGAATGTTCGTATCGTGTTTCTAGATTAGCGACTTCATGTGTATTCTCAGAGACGATACCTTTTAATCAGTAACACTTCTGGATCTTTCTCTCCAATACTGCTCTATCAGTTCTTTACTTGCCCCTTTGGTAGACATTTTGAAAGATCAAGTTAGCAGACCAGCTGATGTTCGTATTTTCTCATAATAAGACCGAAGTCTTGCACTACCTGAAATTCTAGTTTTCTATAGTGAGCCGAAAGTGTGCTACAGGCAGCCAATGACGTCTTCGGTTGTGCTTCCGAACGTTGTTGGAAACATATAGTCAAACTTGGAATTTAATCGCCTAAAACAATCCAGCCTAACTTAGTGGGGTTTACGAAAGAACAAAAGCTGCAAATCTCATTGATAATAGCATGGGGTTTTCAAGGCCCCATCGGTCAAGAATCGGTTCATCAAAAATTTTCGTTTGTCACTTTTATAAAGTCTGTTTATGATTCGTATAGCATCGTTATAAAACCATTCCAAATACCTCTGCTCTAGCGTCGTAGATGTGCATTTTAGAAATAAAACAATCTATAGCAACGCAAAGCAAATACCGTTGGTGTCACTATAAGAGCGCCAACGTTTTGTCTTCGCTTATCTTTCCGGAATACACCTCGGTCGGTTTTGATAGTTCGTCCCGTTTGCGGCAGATTTGTGATTTGTGCTCTTGCGCTATTCACCCAAACAGTAGCAGTATCAATTTTCCTAATCTGCTGCTTTCGTTGAGGGAATCTGTTTCCCATTACATAGTTTGAACCCGAACCTAATCGAATGATTAAAGCGTACGTTCGAATGTTTTCTTTAGATTATTGTGGTAAATCATATCATGTTGCGTATTTTCGACGTTAGATCATTTCCTTATGACTGGAATGCTGTAGAAGTCAGGAAGTCAGAGGTCAGCTTTGAGTACTGCTGTTGTTGTTTGTGTTGCTTAACTTAGCTATTAAATTAGGAAGGCGGTACTTTCCAAACACTTAATAGCTTCTAGGATTTCACTTGGCCATCGCTGTTTGTTCCAACATATGTAAATGCTTCGAAAACTGCTCACTCACTCCTCTTCGTTTTCTACTCGATATTTCTGTCCATTTGTAATAGTACTTCTACTAGTACATTACGCTTCATATTTCATCTTCGTGAGCGGTTTTAGGAACTCACGAGTATTTCAAATGTGTCGGGCTCATTCTTTGATCACGGTTCATGTTCCTCAATTCCGCAGGCTTACTGAATTGGAACGTTCGTCATAGTTAAACATGACGGCAGATTCTGATTTCCTCTAAAGACTTCGCCAGTCATACCAGCACAACAGGGCGCAAAGGTTTCCTAATTTTCCACAACTTTGCCACTTCGTCAACGCTACAAAACGTTGGAGTATTGAAGTATTTATAAAGTTCTCATCGGTTGAGCCATAATGCCTAGACTTTTGCGTAAAATAACCAAGTTCAGGGCTTGAACTTGAACTGAGAACAACTTTGTGCAATTGAAAAGCAAAGAGTTCTCTGCAGCAATTTTGAGATTGGTAGAGACTTATTTCTCTAGAGGTGAAGGGTCTGTTATGAGTCATCTCGCACTCGTCGCACACCGCTTATCTATTATCAATTGTGATAGTCGTTTACGAATAACGCCAACGCTGAAATCTAGTGGTGACTAGGGTGTTTGTGACGAATGTTTCACATGCCGCGGCCTTTTCTTTAGGATGAAATGCGGAAAAAGGCTTCAGCATGATAATGATGTGAAATATCAGGTTTCTTTTCTCTTTATTTCTGAGGGGACGTTTAGTACCGTATGGAGAGAATCTATTGCAATATAATGACACTGGTTGCTTGTTTGAAATATTTTCAAGTCCGGCCGCTTCGATGAATTTCCTGTCTTTTCTGTCAATAAGGTTTCTCAGAGTTATTTTATTTCGCACGGCATCGAAACTCCTTTTTGTTGAGATCAGAAACCTCTGGTGGAGTGCGTAACATTTGGTTCAGAAACCTCCTATAATCGTGTAATTAACATGTCATTAAAAAACTAAAACTAAAACTTACCATTCATTTTGTAGATGTTTCGTGTAAACTGATAGACTGAACGTAACCAATGAGGCAATATTAAGGATGAGATCGCTGTTAGTAGCCTTGTGCATCACCACTATGCAGACTATTTACTACCAGTTGGGCTATACATGCGTCGTATGCCCACGACCGCTCATCCGTAGGCTTAAAACTTCTGCAAGTACTTTATCAGGTGATATCGAATTCCCGTGCAAACAGACAGACAGACGCGAGCGCTTTATATTATACCAGTTGGGCTACGCACGCTAATGCGCGCACCACATGCCCACTACCGCTTACCTACGACTTGTTAGAGGACCAATATGAACAGTATCGGTTCACTTCCCATTTGATAACTGTTTCCCCACCACGCTCACTTGGCATTCGCACTCTTCGTTGTGCCTACGTGAGGAAGGACGCACAAACGGGCATACAAACAGACACACAAAATTACCGGTCTATATATAGACAGTCGGACGCCCGGCCTATGCCGGGCCCCCTCCTTTTTATAATCGAGTTGTGATAAAGGCAAACAGCACACTCCTTTGCTGAAAACACGGAATGATGCTTTTCGGAACATTAAGCTCGATAGAGGAACAATAGGGCATGCAAACGATTTTCAAAATGTGCCGATGCATATGCCTTTGATTAGAATCTGTCTGTCTTGATCTGTCGCTGTTGATGTTGAAAATAATAACCCATTGAAGATTTAAGTGGTAGGCACTCAATGCCTTGAATGGTACTCACAAATGTTGTCGAGTCATAATAATACCATTATCAAATGTCTTTATGAATGCAGCTCCTTTCCTCTATACATCATTAAATGAGAATCCGATATTGTTAGCGGTCGGATAAGTTTTGGCATGAATGACAGCAAAGCAGAGAGAAGCCGTGATCCTTCACTGAATCGCAAACTTTGCTGGGTAGCGGTCGTAAGCAAGAAAAGATCCAAATTTCATAATCGGTCCCTATCAGTGCTTTTACCCGTCTTGTCGAATGAAACATATCAAAGAATCAAAGCTAAATTGTAAACAACAAAGGCGCTGGGATTCAACTGGTAATTTGAACTTGTTCTCTATGGCCTCCTCTATCGTCGGTGTTCCCATCCTGCCCCCTCTACTCCTGCTGATTTTGCTTTCCAAGTCCACGGGATCGGGAGTTATGGATTTTAGCTCAGACACTTATTTC